GTGTTGCTTTTTCAAAAAAAATAAAGATGCCTTGACAGAAATAAAAAGTATCTATTTTTAACACTTGACATTTTATTCACAAAGGAAACATAAAAACTCCTCTAGCAGAAATAACTCTACCAAGATCTGAATCGATGGTCACAGTAAAATCTTAAAAAGGAAAAAAATGAGGATAAACCCCCACAATTAGGTCACGTAAACTACCCCTGCACAGTTGTAAATGCTTTGTTCAGTCCAGTTGTAAATGTCTTAAATAATGCAGTTTTCATCACTTCCCTTGGAAGATTATTCCCTAGCCTTGCTTGCTTCATTGCTAGGGCATATCATTTACAGTAAGCCAAAACAGTCTCTGTCTTAATTCCATACTATTCGTCCCAGTTCTCCTCCTTCCTCGCTACTCAAAAAAAACCACAGCATATCCAAGGGGAAGAAGGAGACACAGTATGAATAAAATCTGGATTTTTAGTGAATACAGCTAAAGGCAATACAGGACAGCTTGAATTCAGAATGATCAAAATCACCCATTTAAAATGTGTTCTAAATAGCCATTTTTATTCTCTTACATATTTGCTGCTTGTTGTCTTAAAAATACTGATGCTTGCTGACTAGTAGCCATTACGCTATGCTGATTGACAATGAAATGTGGCTTTACACTAAATTTCATATTTCTTTTTGCTGTCTGGGTGGGATACATTATATATGCATCAAAGCAAGTAACCATACTACATACCTTAATTCAGATTCTTAAACTTACTTTCTACTAGAGTGGAAAATGGCAGGTGATAGTCCTTATTTATTAAGTGCTTACTTAAGGTTCATTTCAAGATGGTTTTGGCTGGAATTTGGAATTCAATTGAATTGCAAAAAAATTATTTAAAAATAATTTACTATTAAAGCAAACTGAAAGAAAAGCAGATAGAGAAAAAAGTGCACAAAGCACGCTTTTTGTTTAAAGTTAATAAATCTATAAAACAAAGTAAGCCTTATCCTGCATCAAAGAATTTAAAATAAAATGATGGTATCTGATCTCCAAAAGATCAGTAGACCTCAAAGAGGTCCTCGATGATCCCAAGTGTGGTGCCATCATATGCACATTTTAGTCCCCGGGTCTTTGGACTGAAGTAGTGCCTTAGGGCGATGCAGAATGGGGCTCAAAATAACCAGTGTCGTGAAGGAAGAGCTATGCATCTTGGCCAAATACAAAACACTTGGCCCAGGCGTGGGAGTGCAGGTGTCTCTCCGTGGGAGAGGATGGACCCTCTTCTCAGCATGGGTGGGATGTCTGTGTAATACAACCTGTACGTGCCTAATAAATTGCAGCAGACAGCAAATGGTTTGTGTGTGTTAGTCACACTTCCAACTTGAGAAACCCAGCTCCTGGCTTGGGTCCATCCCCAAAGAGTTCGATCCAGAAAGTTCCAGTCTCACCTACTTTTTACTCAGAAAAGGAAAGAAGAGAACAATTTTCTTGGCTTTTTCACCCCCTCTCGTGTTTCTCAGCACTGAGGGACCAAGTCCTTATACCAAATAGAAGAAAACAAAGAAAGCGTTTCCCCTGCGGCACAGGACAGGTAAGAGTCCTCGGTTTTCAACACACAACAGTAAAGTGTTCAGCCAATGGCTTCTCCCAAGTTTGACTCTCTTTAAAGCTTTGGAAGAAAACCTGTAGCTTTTAAATGAATCTGAATGGTTTTAGTATACTGTAGTAACTTTAGATGTTCATGAAGCCTCTCGTGATTTCAAACTTAATTTCAAATTTAGATAATTTAGATTTATTTCTCAAACGTACATTTCTAAATGTACTTAAATTACAATTTAAAGAAGCAATTTCCTTTTTTAATTTTCAGAGTTATCATTTTTTTATCCACCTTGATAGAGGCCTGCCCCAGGGTATGACAAAATTTCCCTCCAGGAACAAATGGCATGAAAACCATACCAGATGGTGATGACAATCGCTGATAGTGAGGATACGTGTTATCCTATTTTTGTCTTATATGGATTCATTTAATGCATTTTTTTTTAAACAATATCATGTTTAATGATATCACAAATGATATGAAATGATATGGTTTAATGCTCGCACACAAATATCTTGAAGATAATCAGGCCGTAAGCACGTGAAGCAGTGACGCAAGGTGGGCTCCCTTCCCCTGCTCCCCCCTTCCCCGATCCCGGGGCTCTGGGGCAGCGTGACGCCTCCCGCTGCGTTACACCCTCTCCGAAGAAGCGTCTCTTTGCGATGCGGGGTGGCGGCGGGAGGCATCCCTTCCCCGGATCCACCTCCTCCCCCGGCCCCAGGTGCCTGCCTGATGGGCAGGCGGTTGGGCAGCCAGCAGCGCGGCTCCGGGGGCTGGCGGGCCCCTGGCCTCGGCGGATCGCCCCTCGCAGGCCTGAGGGGAGGCAGTTAGGTCAGCGCTTTGCTCCCGGTATCAAAGGCCGGCCTTCTGCAGCTTGAGCGTGCCCGCATTAAGAGGAGGGAGCCAAGGGGAACAGTTGAGCTCGGTTGCAGCCTGTGCTGACCTATATTGGTGAGAAAAAGCTGCAGGGAGGAAAGAAGGGGAGAAGGAACCAAAAGAGATGAAACTGGATCAACTAGTTGTGCCTGGACTGGAAATACTCTCATTAGAGGGAACCAAGGGGACAAATGCGGGCAACCCACAGCTCCCTCTAAAGCAATTAAACTGCGGGCTGCGGTATTGATAACGCGTCCAGAAAAAAAACCCTCAGATGCTTCCAAACAGCTTTTCTGCAGATGCCAGTCAGATCTGACAGTTATTGAGAGTTTTATTGCCATGGGTATTCTGCCTTGAAACACACCCTTCCCCTCCCCACAAAGTGTTCACAACAATTTCTCGCCAACTGGGACTTGATGATGGAGTGCAGAATGTGTGAATAAAGGTTTGTGCCAGTTTAGGGCTGACACAGCACTTTTTGTGGTCTTTCTCTGCTCCGAAGGTAACTTCCGGGTGTTTTCGTTACTGTGAGATAGGCATTGCTGAATAAATGACCATCATAACAGGGAAAAACCCCACTTTTTTAGTTCTTTTTCTTTTGCAAAATGCTTTTTGTAAAAACCCCACATTTTTATACACTCGGGAAGCTTGGATGATGTATTATAGCGGCAGGAGTACGTTGTTGGTTCTTCAGTTCTAGTGTTCTGCGGTAATGTGAAGAAAACGATCAATGCCTTGGCTTCTTTGACATTTTCCACAGGAAACATTGCTACGTTATTTTCTTCTTACAGGGTAGCCAAGAATAGGAATCTGTGAGATTGCAGGTTTTCAAGTTGTACTTGGCTGTATTTTACTCTCTCTCTCTTTGATTAATTGATTATGGATAAAAGAGCTTCTGCAGCAACAAACAGTATCAAGCTCATCACAAGTTAAACAGAGAGTTATAAAAGAAAAAGTGCTCACCTCTTTGCCCTGTCTTTCTCATCTTCATCCATTAGATTGTCTAAGCAGTTTTTTCTGTTGAAGGAATGCAAGAATCATTATGAAATGTCATTTTGTTAGCCCTACTGCAGGTTAATCTCAGAGTTGCTCTATTTCATTTTAATAACAGAGTGATGAAATCCAGGTCAGATAAATGTGTCAGCAGTGCTTTATGCCACAGTCCTTGATTTTAGAAAACATCCATTGTGGATAATGATGTTATTCCTGAGCATCACGCTAGCCTTAGGGGCTCCAGACAGGGATCAAGGCTCCCAGGCACAACATGGTGCACCAGCACAGTACAAAACCAGTCACTTCTTGGGGAATTTTTCGGTGTGGAGGTTACTTTCTGCAAACTTGCAGGCTGGATGAACCCTGGGGTCTGCCCAAGTTGAAAAGATGTTTTCAGTGGCTCCAGGTTCCCCCCAAAACCATCCCCAGTGCAAGGGCTGGCATCACTGATGCCTCTGACTCCTCAGGTGGAGCTTCCTACTGGGAGGCTCTTTGTCCTCCTCTGCGGGCCCTGACCCAAAGCCCAAAGAGGCGGTCGTAACTATACTGAATTACACCCCAAATTCAAAGTGTCCTCACAAATCCCGCTGCCTAAGCTGCACTGTGAAAAAACCCCTCATGTAGCCAGCAATGGCGGACAGACCGCCTGTCTGGTGGTGCCAGCACCGAGCGTGGGGACCGTGCCATCCCTGTCACTCTTTTTGCTAATCTTCACCAAAACGTTGTGATCTGCCGTCAGGTTTATAGTCCAATTGCTCTGGCAGTTTGAGCTGTAAGGAGAAAGTACTCTGAGCATAAGATGTGTTCATAAAGCCACAGAGTAAAAGGGGGTAAATTGGGTAAATTAAGTAAATTGGTGTAGGCAAGGCAAAGGGAAAAATACAAGAGCAGCCCAGCTGAAGGCTGAGATCCTCAGAAACACTTGTCACCAACTCACTGCCCACCCTCCTTTTCTCCGTGGCCTTAAGAGAAAGCGATGCTCGAGCCATAACTGCTTCAGCCCGAGGAGGAAGCCCTGTGCTGCTGCAGCCTCTCACGGCACCTCGCGCCCATGTCAGCCACAAAAGCCACGTGCTGCTGCATCCCCCACAATTTTTTTCCAAACCGGCAGCACAATGCTTCTACAAACCCTGGATATTGTAAAAGTGTCATTTTCAAAGCGACAGTGTAATGACAGGCAATGATAAAACTCATTTTCAAAAATCAATGGTTCTCATTTAATGAGTCCTCAACATGTAAGACGTGAATAAAACTGGAGGGGGGGGAGGAGGGAAGTTAATTGCTATGCGTTATTTAAGCCCATGGTATTTTCCACATACGAGTCACACAGGAATTTGCCTGTTTAAAGAACATTTTATGAAAAAACAGGAGTGAAAACTTATTGATAGTAAGAACAGTGGATAAATTCCCTCCTTCTGCTATTAGTTCTCTTACAGCAATATTCCACCTGCTCATTACTCAACAGTTAGCTAAGAACATGAAACTACCCTGTAATTTTTTATCAAACATAAGAGTAATGAGGAATTAAAGCCACGGGTCACTGATTGGAGGGTAAAGCTTCTACTTCATGGCATTCAGCTCTTTGATGGAGGAGCATAAATAGGAAATATGAAGGCCAAGGGACTGGCTTTTTTGCTTGCAAAACAGACAAGTCAGCCATATCACAATCCATATTTTAGACTAGGAAAATTTACAGAGCCAGTTAAATTTTATTTACCAGTATTTTACAAATACTTTAGGTCATTATTCACCCAGTCGCAGAATCAGGCCGCTAGCCCAACAAGTGTGTTTTCAAATAATTCAGACTAAAATCTAGTGAGAATATTTAGTGGTTTTCATTGTTATTTGCTCACATTGCAACCGAAATGTTCAACTACGTTATTTGAGAATAAAAAAGGCATCAATAATATGGCAAGGGTTAGCATTTAGGATTTTGGTGTCTTTCTTTGCTAGACCTTTGCTCAAAATGCTCTGTTGCATGCACCCTTGTTGAATCTAGGATAGGACAAGCGAAATGGGGCAGCGTCAGCAGAAGAAGCTGCTTTCTCTGAATCCCTGAAGATCTTCCTCTACTGCACCAAGGCCTCCTCTGGCTGTAACAGATTCCCAGTAGAAAGCAGAAATATGGGGATGAGAGCTCTGGGTGGCTCTGGGGAAGGATGGGGGTGGATGGGGCAGTCAGCATCAGTGCCGCTCAGCCCCGGCTGTTTTTCAGAGGCAGAACATAGCTAATGGAAAGGGGCTTCCTACAGCTGTACTCTGTAAACCATCAAGGAATTACACTGCTGTGAAGCCTTATGAGAGATCAACAGGTCTAACTGGTCTGTTCTGCCAAGGATTTGGCTAGATCTGTAAAGCAATTCATGGCCAGCTTCCAGTAAACAAGGTTTCTCACTGACTGACATAAAATTCTGGACCCGCTGTGCTGTTGCTAGTGTTAGACAATACCTAATTGTCTTTTTGCTTCTGTTTGCTCAGATGGCAAAATCTCCAGAGCATCGTAAGCATTGCTAACAGCATTTGCCAGTACGTACGTACCATATGAAATTAAAACTGTTCTCGATAAAACAGGTACAGCAGAGTATACAACTGCTGCAAACCGGTACTGCCATCCCTCTCCTGAGCCACACCAGGTGCTGGCTTACACCTGGAGGAGAAACCCATGGCATGGAGCTTAGGTATGTGCTTAATGCAACCTGTTTGCTTTATGTTAGCCTCCCAGTCCTTCAGCTGGGAGGGTCCCAAATAGCACACTGGAAATCTACTCTTCCATCCCCATCAGTGCCTGGTCTAGGAGGCAATTCTGGCTCATTGCAATGACAGAGGCAGGCAGTAATTGCCATGGCTCTGTGCCACGGTTCCCCTGCAAAGACATGACATAAAAACAAGCAGCACAAAGATTTCTCAGAATTTGAACAATCCTTTCATGCTAACAAAGAGAATTTGGAAACCTACGGGTAAGAACAACATGATGTAACTCCTACCAATGGAGTATTTAACACTGACAGTTACATTTGGAGCTTCATTAATATCATCATTGTCAACAAGGAGTGAAGAAGCTACCACTCAAAAAGATGGGAACCACCTGGAATAAGGAGGAGAAAGCTCACGTCCTCCCATCGTGATGGTACTCAGAGAGACATACAGAAAGACGCATATGCACAAGCAGGCAAGAGTGGCATTTTGGAAACAAAAGACTGGCTAAAACTATTAACTGTGTACCCCCGGCTTAGTTATCAGATGGAGAATTATAGCACAAACATCCCCCCCACATTCATTCATACAATGAATAGTTGCTTGGGAAAGAAGTAATTCAGGCAGAGTGCCCACTCGCTCCAGGGACTCTCCAGAAGAAAGATTGCATATGTTTATTTTGATACAGTCTATTCCCAGTGGACACAGAGCTTGCATTATAAAATTCATCTGGCACTGATCACCTTATCCTGCACTGGAAACATGTTTTTTAGCGAGTCATACTACTACCCTTCTGTGTGGGTGAGGTTGGTTTCTCTCCTTCCTGCCCTACTGCTCATAAGGATACACTATAAAATGACTGACACTGAAATGTAAGTACTCAGCTGTTGATTTCCCACTAAGTTGCCACGTGGCCAGCTAATCTCACTTCCTACAAATCAGCCTGACATTTAACAAGAATTTTAATCATATTTGTTTAACTCAGCTGAATTATATCAGAGACGTAAATCTCCATTAGAGGTCCTGAGACGTGCCTGGGGAAGCCTGGTGAGAAATCACAGTGTTTGTGCTCCTCTGGCTCTATGTTGGGCAGCTGGGGGAAAGACTGGGCTTTTCCTCCCCTTCCCTCTCCGGCATGGTGGGGTGTCTGCCTCCACCACGCCACAGGCCTGCTTGGGCTATTCAGCCACTTGTCCTGTACAGGGCATGCTCAGCCCTGGGGAGAGGGGTGCTGCCTGCCATACCCTGGTGTTGCTTCCCACCCACTACAGATATACCTGAGCCCTCCCTCGGACCTCCCCCTCAGACCACTTGGGATGCTGGTACAATACCACCATCCTAAGTAAAGATTATGATATTGCACTTGGAGAACAATCCTCTCACAGACAGGGGATGGGCAAGGGTTGTACGGAAAATTGGGACACTGGGAAGAAACAGCTTGAACTACCTTCTGGCCTCTGGGAAGAACCTCCCCAACAACTGTTAACTTTGTGAGGAGGGAAGAAAAAGAGCAATAGGGTGGAGGGTAGACATGCCCCTGTGCCTTCCAGACACATCGCTCAGCCTCCACTGCCCATCTCTGCTGCGCGTTACTTCTGCAAGACGCTGAGCGCTGCCTCAACAGGGAGTTACTCTCCAGTTCCCTCTTTGAAGGAGAGGAAAGAGGCTGTTAGTGCAGAGCTCGGTGTTATAAAGGAGGCATGCGGGTATGTTTGGTGGTTCAGGATTTAAAGGCCAGGTCCACCCATGTACAGCATCCCGTGCACAGTGAGTAGGATCTAAGACATAGGAAGAAGGCACCGAAGGGGAGTACAGGCTCTGGGCATGAGCCACGGGGGACAGTTTTTGGCCACCCACTGGCACAGGGGACAGTGTGGCTGGGTTGTTGCGCTGGCACCACTGCCAGGTCCCCTGCCTGGGGATGATGGACAAGGTCTGATGGCCGCTGTGGGTGGACAATGGCGTTGTCTCATGGGTGCTCCACAGTGTGGGTTAGATGGGCACTTGCCCACACTGGGGAGCATCACTGTGGCTTGGCACTAGCAGCTGTACCCGCTTCTTCTCAGCTAAGGCAGAGCTCTGAAATGAAGTAAACCACACAAGTGGTTTACCAAACAAGTAAAGTATTTCCCTTCCAGGCCTTGCTGGGGGGCAAAGAGAAAGATTAGCAAATGGGAAGTGGCAGGAAGGGTAACAGGGTGATAGGCAAGAAGTGACCATCTGACCATGTTAAACACCTGGTTCCATGTTTCTCTGATGTGGATGAAGCACTCGGATATCCCACCATGAGGGTTATGGCATGAACACA